CTGCATCTGCTTCTGCTATCGGTATCTTCTATGTGTCACAACTGTCATGGCAAAAAAAGAAATATGCAGCAGGTGAGAGAGGGGTTGTTTTCTTTGCTTAATGCTCCTCCATTAAATGCTGTATACTACATTTTCTACACACGAGTAGGCACAAGTGTCAGCTTATCTATGCTGGTGATTCCCGCCCCCTCGTTCTTCCTTCTCTGACCGTTCAATGTTGATTCTCAGTCTACAGACATAGCTTTATGCCCTTTACAAAGTACAGCTGCATTCATAAATGCTTCTCACATTTGATGGTAGTTCTAACTGCAAAAGAAAGAAAGAAAGAACAAAGTCTTAGCAGGTAAAAGGGAGATCAATTTTCATAAGATAATTAAGAGAGTCAGATTACACAGGGGGTAGTATTTTCTTTCAACAGCTAGAACAGAAACCGGGAATCATTCTCTCTGTTTTAATTAAAATGTAAAATTAAGCATTTCCCCCCGCTAAACAATTCTGAGAATGAAGCAAAGATGACAAACAAATAGAGAGAGCTTGCTAAGTCGAAGCTTGGGCTGTAAACCATGAAGACATCTAACAGACTGAATGTAGTAAAATGTTTTTGAACCTAAATTGGTAGTTTGCAAAGCTCTGATTTCAAGACACATAGAGAGACTGAGTGTAAATATCACCGTTTTCAATGTGAATAAAGCAAAACCTTCATGGTGTTTATTATTTCGAGAGGCTAATTCAATAATTTATTAATTGATCTTTATAGATGACAAAATTCCTTCAGCAACAGCCTCTTAAGATCAGTCGTTCTCTTTGAAAAGACTCTGATTACCCAGCATAGTTTCAAGTGAAATATCATTTGACCTAATAGAATATATAGAATAGTACTATATAGAACAGTATTATAAGTGTGAGCCTTGATCATATAGAGCAGTGGTTTCCAATTAGCTAAGTACTGCAGACCCCCTGTTATTGAAAAGCCAAGCCATGCCCCCCTACTATATATATATATATATATATATATGGTAGTTTTTGTTGTGTGAATGGTGCCACGGACACCCTGTGTGGGTTACACGGACCACCCTGGGGTCCACATACCACCAACTTGAAACCACTGATATAGAGTATCTATATCTTTCATATTTCCTCTAGATTTCGTCACAGCCTGGCATTGGACAGTGGACAGAGGAGTCTTAGTTCATGACCTTTGAAGTCTGCTGAGTACTCCAACATTGTGGAATTTGTGTCACATATCATCTACTTGGGTGTCAACTGGAAGAAACACCCCCCCCCCCCCGCCAAGGAGCACAAGAAGCTGAAAAGGCAGCTGCTTTTCTTCATTAAACCCTTCATTATCTCCCCTGTTTACCCAAGGGCTTAAAGCTATTCTGATTTGGTAGGGTACAATGTTTAGTGAGACAACTTCCTGCCATAGGAATCTCTCCCCACCCCCAGCACTGTTTGAATTGGTACATCCCAGACACAGTAGTTGGGTTTTTACTGCCTCATCAGCTCATCATGACATCTTTTCCAAGACACCCGCTAGTCCAGCCTCAGAGATCAAAAGGAATGGTCACCTCATGGTCTCATATTAAAAAACCAAGATAGATTTAGTGATACCTTTTTAAAATATCTGTCAGGGAATTATTCATCTCTTTTTACAACGTGCAGAGAATAACCTAATTAGTCAACAAACTAAGTTGACTTCTTTGGCAAATATCTCCATTGACTCAGCTAAATAAACCGAATGTGTCTGAATTATGGTACCAGTGGCCATTACTTTATAAACCACTGACACCAATAAAGATAATTCATCTTTTTTGTTTTATTGTTGGCAGGCAGGAATTGAAAATATGTGTGTGTGTACACACACATACGCAAACACAAACACTAGAAAGCCTGAAGATTAAATTCAAGCAAAAAAACCAAAATGCTGACTCAAAGAATGAGTATAGGGAGTCAGTTGAGAATAAAGCACAAGAAAGATGGTTGCCACAATCAATAGGTATCTACGCAACCATTAAAATCAGGAAAGAAGCATAGAAATTCTTAAGAAACGTTCTCAGAATGTGGAAGCTAACATTAAAACAGGTCAGTCTGACACCAGACCATACTAAGAATACTAAGTGCATAGAAACCTGAAATGAATGTATGATTCTTCAAGGCCTTCATTAGTTGAGAGAGAGAGACAGAGAGAGAGAGAATTGGGCATCCACATTGCTATCTGTGAGGAGGAAGAAAGAGAACTGGCACCTGTGAAAAAGAAATCAGGTAGCATCTGACATATTTATATTACATACTTGTAAGCTTCCAACTTGTTTATGAGAAACGAAAAGACCATTTGGAAGAGTCTATCAGGTGCAGCTGACTGATTAAAATACAAATGAGGAGGTAAAAAGATTTTTGTGTGTGTACCTAATCCATCATGCTGACAATACCACAACCTCCAACTCTTATCCAATTAGCACATAAAAGCACAGACGATTCTGACTGATTGAGGCTTACTACAGCTCTGAATTGTGGTGATAGGTGCTCATGTTGAACTCTTCCCTCCTTAATCACAAATGCATTTTATCATGGTAGACTTCCTGGGCTTAGGGTTTTGAACAAAAGCTATCTGGGGCGGAGGGTGGGAATACGGAAATGATAATAGAGTCCATTGCAAACATACAAGTTCCATTTAAGTCCTGAACCGTCTAAATTGTCAAATAAGTAGAAACCATTATCATCACCATGCACTTCTTAGGATTAAAAGACACCACACCTGTTGTCTTACATTGATAGTTGCTGAGCTTTTTCTTTTTCTTTTTTTAGTTTTCCCAAATGGACTGCCATCAGGGGTGAATGAAGGCGTTGTGACACCTGGGGCGGCAAACCACTATGTACGGTGCATGTGTGGCGTTGCTACATACAGTGCATGCGCCGTACGTAGTGACATTGCAAATGCACTGTACATAGCGGTCTGCTGGCGGCGGCGCTTGTGCCAGGATCCTTTGCTCATGGCTGCAGTCACGAACGGAGGATTTTCCGTTTGCAGCTGTAGAGGCAACGGAGGGATCCCACCACTGTCTGTATGGCACTCGAGCGGCGCTGGCGGCAAACCACTATGTAGAGCTCATGTGCGGCAGCATTACGTACAGCGCATGCGTGCGACGCTGCACATGCGCTGTACATAGCAGTTTGCCGCTGGTGCTGGGATTCTCTGCTCACGACTGCAGCTGCAATGGAGGATCCTCCACATGCAGCTACGGCGGTGCGATGGCTGCTCGTGCCGCCGTGAGCCCCCGCGGGGTGCCTTCTTGTCACCCCCCAGACATGGCACCCAGGGCGAACTGCCCCCCATTGCGATGCCACTGACTGGCATACGTCCAGACATTTTAGAGATTCCCACCAGGACACTGTTTTTGATGGCCGATTCCCGGCTATGCCCAGGCAACTGTATCTTACAGCAACCCTGTAAGGCCAGCTATTATTAATAAGATAAGGACGACAGTAACCAGTTGCTTGAGATAACTCATCAACTCTGAGTTTAATGCTGACCTCCTTTAATAATCTATTTAATAGTTTTGTGGAACTGTGCAACTGGGGTGTGGGCTATTTTTGGTTGAAAGCACCTTCATTCCAAACCAGTTGGGAAGAGAGTAGTCTTCAGGCAAACTCCTTTTGATATATATCATGTAAGTAAAATACTAAGGCATCAAGCTTGAGCAAGCATGTTATTCGCAGGGTGAATGCCGCAACACTGCCTATTCCTTATCTAGACATGTTAAATGCACCGCACTATTGAGAAACTGCTACATTCTAATTGGATGACAGGAAGAGACTGCCAAGGTCTAATTGGGGAGGGGAGATAACTGTCAGTAATGACATTTCCAGATGATTACAAAGCTCAGGGACTTAATCCTAAGTGTAGCTGTGCCAGAGTTTGAGTCATGTAATCATATTAACCAGTCAAGAGTCTCTCTCTCTCTCCCTCTCTCTCCCTCCTATTATTTAATTTTCCAGTCAAACTCTCTGTGGTAATAAATTCCAAGAACAGTGTCAATACTCTACAAGATGATAGAAGGCCATGTCGATACAGCTGCCCGCGTAATATAGCTGTCAGTTATGAAAATGGCCGAGAGTGTACTCTGCCTGTATTGTTAGTTATGGATCTGCAATTTTAAAACTTTGTGCTGCTCCCTGTGCAAGTCAAATTTGTTGGTTTTGAGAAGCTGTACAGAGCAGCTCTGGGGTGGTTGGGCAGCAGGAAAGCAGCAGCAACAAGATGTTTCCTGGTACTGCAGCCCAGAAAAGAATCCAAAATGGCGGCAGAGTCAATGCTATCATTAGGGAGAAGATGCTGCCTCAGCTGGTAGGTGCTGGGGTGTGTATTGAGGGCAGCAGTGGCAGGACCCCTGAGATTGCTCCTGAACTCTCCCCGGCCCCAAATTCCAGTGCTGTGTGCCCTGCAGCAGCCTGCCCTAAGTTTGTTGCTGCCCTCAGGTGCAATAGTGAATGTTGTTGTACCACTACTGCTGAAGCAAAGTTCAACTCTAGTGTGGTGGACTTGTCTGTGTGGAATGAAGAGGCAGAATCGGTGTGACAGGATGAAGCTGATTATCAAGACCCTGTGTCACTCTGTTTACCTTTATTGTGAAGGAGAGGGGTGATGTGATCCTGTTAGTTCTCCTTGATCTCTCTAGGGCTTTTACATACCATTGACCATAGTAACCTCCTGGAACGGCTCTGTGGATTGGGAGCATTACAGTCTTTCCTTTCTTAACTGCAGAACCAGCTTCTACTCGGTGCCTTGCTGTGGGGTTCCATAGGGTTCCATTTTGTCTCCAGTGCTTTTTACATATATATGCAATTTTACATATATATGCAACCTCCCCATTGGGAGCTGTGAAGTGGGGGTGTGGCGTATGGGGTCATCAAAAGTTGTTGGACTACAACTGCTATCATCCCTAGTTACAGGTAGGTAGCCATGTTGATCTGCCGTGGTTGAAAGAAAATAAAAAAAATTCCTTCCAGTAGCACCTTAGAGACCAACTAAGTTTGTTATTGGTATGAGCTTGCATGCACACAAAAGCTCATACCAATAACAAACTTAGTTGGTCTCTAAGGTGCTACTGGAAGGATTTTTTTTATTTTGCTATCATCCCTGACCACTAGCTGGCTAGGACTGATAGGAATCAGAGTCCATAAACACCCCTGATTTAGATCTTTCCCTGATAATAACATGAATAAGCTATTTTTTGAACTAAAGCTTTCAAATACATTTCAGAATACCCTTCTGCCTCTCTGTGTCAGTCTTTGGCATGCAGACTTCCCTCTGAGGGTGAAAAAAACTGCAGTTTTAAAAAATAATAATATTAGTAATTATGATTAAACAGATTATTGTGAATGTCTGAGACATTTTCCATTGCAATTGACAGATGGAAGAATACACTACACTTTGGAATGGATCCAGAATACAGGCGTCGAAACAGGTAGGTTGGCGAAAAGAAGAATTTTGGTGGTGGTTTTTTATATTAAAAAGTCATTATAAGTTTATAAGAGAGAATGTTTTAACAGAGATATTCCTGAGGTACACTGTAAGCCTCAAACTTCCATTAAAAGGAAAAAGCAGCAACTTTCAATGAAAAATCCACCCTGAGTAGGGAAAAACCCTGCTAGTTTAAGATCAGAAATAAGGCTATCTCATTTTGGCTCAAACTCCACAAAGCCAGGAAATTGGCAGCTAAGGCTGATGCCTTAACAGAAGTGTCCTGTGACCAGCAATTATATTTTGCGATGTCAGAAATTGAGCTTGCTTACAGCTTACCCTCCATGTAGCCGCACCCTTTTCTCATTCTCTAGCAATACAGTAAGGCTCAGATGGTTCATAAGGCAATAGAGTGCATTTGAAACATATGACATGCCTGTATAAAATTTGCAAAGGCAATCTGTATCGATCTTCAGCACTTTTTAAAAAAAAAAACTTGCTGTACATGTAGCAATGTTATTGGATAAGTTTGACATTTGCTGCCTTTGCAGACCTCATCAAATAGATCATGTGTGCTGCGTTTCCAGTTATGAGCTCAACGGGGCTTATTTTTAAACACAAATAGACTTTTGAGGCTTATAATGTTGGTGGAAGCTTTCCCCATCCCCACCATGCCACTTGTTTTAACTAAGGATAAGGTTTGAGCATTATAACTCTAGGTGATACAGCATAATGCTTAGGAAAATGTCTAGTATATAGATCTAAACCTGCTAGGATAAAATGCATCATTTGTAGAGTAAAACGAAAGGCCCACTGGCATGGTCCTAAGCTAAGGTGACATGTAATGAGGGTTTACTGAAAAAAGAATACCTCTGAATTAGGTGGGGTGGAATCTACAAACATATTTTTAAAATGCTGTGAAAATGCTTTTTTAAAAGTTTTGAAAAATACACTGAATTTGGCATAGCTCACTCTCGCCATCTAGTGTCACATTTGTATATTGCACTTCACAACACATTTAAAACGTTTCATTTTTAGCTGTATAGCTGATTTACTTCCTAGTATGAGTGAGCAGTATATCAGAAGTTATTTTCAAAAAGAGTTAGTTTGCATCTAGGTCTACACAGGCAGTGGAGTGAGGTGGTGGAATACTGAGGGGCTATTAGAGGACCGTGCTACTCTAGATAACAGCCCGGGGGGGGGGGGAGGGGGCGCACAATTTTTGAATACTTTCCCATGCAAATAAGGAAGCAAGTCCAGCAGAGACAAAGGTTCTAGCCCATCCCTGTTGTTGTTTTATTTGCAATAGCTTTTTAACATACAGGACTGTTCTCTAAAAAATGTTCCACTAATCTGCAGGTCCAGCATTTATCCAGTACACCCAGACCTCAGGTTGTCCAGAAATCAAATACCCCTCTCTTCCCCGCCCCCCATCTCTTTCCATAATCCAGAAGCTGTTTACTGTGGAAAGGGGCACTAAGTTCTGGGGGTTTTGTTGACAGAGAAAGGAGTGTGTTATGTGGGAAATGTATGCACTTCATACCTCAGAGTGTTAGGACAAATGTCGGTTTCTGGTGACATTAATCCTGATACTGAGAATGTTTTCTTTGTACTTGAGGCTTCCTCCTCTGGAATACGCCACTCTTCAAATAGAATCATGACTCTGTCAAGGTCTGGTATTTGCTCCCAGTGTGCAGATGTTACTGCAGGCTAGAATGCATAAGTCAGTGCTGAGAGTTAAGGATCAGTCAGAGATATCAGATCTATTTATTTTCAAGAAACCCCAGGATATCACAACACAGGTATCAGGTACAAAAGTGTATTCCCATACAGCAATATAAATAAACATAAAGCACTGGTCCCCTTATTAAAACAGAATGTACACTTGCTTCTTTCCTCCAGAGAGAGTTCTTCTAATATCCTCCTGAGGGAGATCTCACATCCAGCATTCAGACAGAATGTACTAAAAGCTGTTCACAATGCACTCTTATATATATTGAACTGGAGACTAGCCCATAGAAATCTCACAGCATAAGCAGATTTCATTTGGAATAACAACAACATACTGGGATTGCTTCTGCCATCACTGTATTTATCCTGTTTTCTGTAACATAGGTAAAGGGACCCCTGACCATTAGGTCCAGTCATGACCGACTCTGGGGTTGCGGCGCTCATCTGGCTTTATTGGCCGAGAGAGCCGACGTACAGCTTCTGGGTCATGTGGCCAGCATGACTAAGCTGCTTCTGGTGAACCAGAGCAGCACACAGAAACGCCGTTTACCTTCCCGCCGGAGCGGTACCTATTTATCTACTTGCACTTTGACGTGCTTTCGAACTGCTTAGGTTGGCAGCAGCAGGGACCGAGCAATGGGAGCTCACTGTCAGCATCGCCCTTGAGCCAGTGCCACCAACTGGACTCATCCACTTCAACCCCGACTGGGCTAGGCGAGCTGGGTAGCACTTCCAGAGACCACCTTCTGCACAGGAACAGGTCTAAGTGCTGTGGACTCACAGCTTAGAGTTGTGAGCACCGGATTCACTTCCACAAGAAGACAGTCGTCACACACAGCAGAGTATAGCAGAGCATAAACGACTCGGAGAGCAGCTCTGTAGAATATCTTCTTTATTCTATCTACAACTAGATACAACTATATACAGAGCTATATGAGGTCTAAGCAAAATGAATGCTGAACTGCACTGAGTGCCTGCAGCTGCTCTTAGCAGCAACCTTATCTATACACACGGTCTCTAACACTCAGTCTCTCTCTCACTCCTACACTGACTGACTGACTCTTTGATGTTAGGCTGGAGCGGAATAAGTAGAGAGCAGAACACCGCCCCTCCTCTCTGGAAAATCACCAGACTCATCAGCAGATTCTTGGATATGGGAGGGGTGAAATCTCCTCACTCACTCTGTCGCAGGGATTCGAACTGCTGACCTTCTGATCATCAATCCTAGAGTTGCACAAAAGAGCAGGTTCAAAAACAAAAGCAAAAGTGTCTTGCCCCACCAGGAGTGTTTCAATAACAGAAATAAGAAGCATGGTGATAGATGGCGCTCACCAAAACATCACCACCCATATTAAAAAAACAAAACAAAAAACTATTCACATGATTTCTTAAGGAAATCAACACTCAGTACTGATTTACTTCAGTACACCCACAGTTAATTAACATGATTTTATGTTTATTTTTAAAAACAGTTTAAACTGCTAGGTATACACAACTCTGTTGAATTCTGTAGGCCTGGCTCCCAGGTAAGTAGGATTAGAATTGCATCCTAACCTGACCTTCCTCATGGAAATTCTCTAGTAAGTGTACTTACTGGATTGCAGTCTCAGTGCCGCTGAAATGCATGGGAACTCATTCTACTCAAATTCAAAAATTTTGGCTTACGTAGACAAAAGACCAGGTTGTCAAAGTAACAACAAAAAATCCCACTGCCACTTCTGTAAAGATGATATGAGCACACTAGTTTCCAGTTTCTCCCTATCATCAATAAAAAGGCCCCGCTGGCTAAATTCTATTGTCAATTCTGTTAGAGGAATCCAGTTATAAACTTTCCCCCTTCCTTGATGTCATCTGGGCCACCCATGCTTTTATTCAACGGCTCTGCAAAATAAATAAATGAATGAAAGAGCCTCTCCTCATGAGAAGTGAGTAATTCCACAGCCACTGTACAGAGCAGAAACACACTTCCAACCCCTTGAACCTCTAATTCCCATTCATTAAATGAGTCTGTTACCATATGGATGGTTCTCCCAGCATTCATTACTACAATTTTCTAAGAAAAGAAACCATCTTCCTCCTATTAACTCCATTTTCTCAGCCTCTTCTGATGGGGAGAACCTATTTCAGCAATGCTAGACTTGGGCTATTTTTCACTTATAATTGTTTCTGAAATGTTAAATTAGCTTCCAGCAGCCCTGGAATTAATATATTAAATATATTTAAGTCTTGACATCCCAGTGGAATTATCAGTGTAGCATGGCACTGAAAAGAATGCTAGAGCCATATCTTATTTCAAGCAGGGGCTAATTGAGGCACTAACATAATGGCGCCCTGGACTGGATTCTCAGTCATGAGCCATGTGTTGTGGCTTGTCAGGTCACTATTTATGGCTCCCTCCTTTCTACATTTGCAAGCAGAAAATAAAATGCTTATCAAGTCCTTGGGATAGGTTCTACCAGCCTAGCAGTCTGAAAGCATACCAGTGTGAGTAGATAAATAGGTACTGCTGTGGTGGGAAGGTAAACAGCGTTTCTGTGCGCTCTGGCACTCGTCACGGTGTCCCATTGCACCAGAAGCTGTTTAGTCATACTGGCCACATAACCCAGAAAGCTGTCTGTGGACAAACATCAGCTCCCTTGGCCTGAAAAGTGAGATAAGTGCCACACCCCATAGTTGACTTTGACTGGACATAACTGTCCAGGGATCCTTTACCTTTACCCTTGGAATAGAGGGTGTGACATGTTCAGCTTGATGGGTAACAAATTGTGCCAGTCCCACTATAGCAGGCATAGGCAAACTCGGCCCTCCAGATGTTTTGGGACTACAACTCCCATCATCCCTAGCTAACAGGACCAGTGGTCAGGGATGATGGGAATTGTAGTCCCCAAACATCTGGAGGGCCAAGTTTGCCTATGCCTGC